CATGTGATTGGTTGATTAGATAATTGCATTAATGAGAAATTGAACAGGTGTTCCTAATAATCCTTTAGGTGAGTGTATATCATAATTTTGTGTATATTTTAATAAATATTTCTGAACGGACCAAAGTGAACCTGTTTGTTCCTTCGAAAGCCCTATATCCCCCTCTCACATTAAAACAATATTCTAGGTGGGGTCTTACTAAGGAATTGTATAATCTTAGCATCACCTCCTTTGAATTAAACGTCACACACCTAGAGATGTAACCCAACATCCTATTGGCCATTTTAATTACTTCCCCACACTGGCGAGAGTGGGACATGGAAGCATCAACATACAGTCCAAGGTCTTTCTCATAATCAGCTACCTTTAATTCAGTGGAATCCATAAATATCTGTACTTCATATTTCTGCTCCCTGCATGGATTACCTTACATTTATCTACGTAAAATTTCATCTGCCAGGTATCAGCGCAGTCGCTAATTAAATCAAGATCCTGTTGTAGCCTCTGTGCTGCTAGATCAGTATCTGCTACACCACGACCTTGGTGTCATCTGCAAATTTAACCAGTTTACTGTATGTATTGGTGTCAATATCATTAATGTAAATTAGGAACAATAGTGGTACTAAAATTGAACCCTGCAGTACCCCTTTATGAACGCAGGCCCACTGCGGCATTGTGCCTCTAATTACTACCTACTGCTTCCTGTCTGCTAACCAGTTTTCGAGCCAAGCTGCTACAGTTCCTAAAATCCCTGCAGCTTTGAGCTTAAGCAAGAGCCGTTTGTGGGGGACAACATCAAAGGCCTTCTGGAAATCTAAGTATTTTTTGTGATAGATTTTTCTTGTAGCTTCCTCAAAGAACTCAAGTAGATTAGTTGTACAGGATCTACCTCTCCTAAATCCATGTTGGCTATCCCTCAGAATGTTATTTGTATCCAGGTAATATACCATTTTTTACTTTGATAATAGCTGCCATTACTTTTCCAGTTATGCAAGTTAAAGTAATTGGCTATAGTTTGCTGGATTACTTCTATCCTTTTTTTGAATATGGGCGTTATATTAGCATACTTTGAATACTTCAGAAGGTACCACACCCACAGATAAGGATTTCTGAAATAGTAAAGTTAAAGGTTGGCTAATAATATCGCTAATCTCTTTTAAAACTATAGGTAAGATGCCATCAGGGCCCTGAGATTTATTTATTTTGAGTTTAGCTAGGCTTAGTACCACATCAGCCTCAGTTATACAATGCTCTCCGTAATTATTGGCACCCCTTTGTACAAGGGTAAGAAAAAAATCCACCTTCTGGTGAAGTTGCTTCATCTCACACCGAAAAAATGAGAAAAATCCAACCTTTAATTGAAATTAATTTAAGAAAAACAAATCCTTCATCAAGAAATAATTATTTTTAACAAAAACCCTGCAAATTATAGTGAACACAATGTACCTGACGCATGTTTCCCATGTAAATTATACATATTTGAGTTTATTGGAGTGAATAGGAACCTTCAAACTGTAATCCATGATTTCCTGATTAACTGGGGTACAAACATGAGGAGACACAGAGGCCAAATTCCCTTAGTCATCCATCAACATGGGAAAGATAAGAGAACACACAGTCCAAATGAGGGAGAAGTGTGCTGACATTCATAAGTCAGGGAATGGGTATTAAAAATAGCTTTAAAATGCCCATTTCTAGGGCAAAAACTTAAAAAGTGGACATTAACTGGAACTGTTACAAACCTGCCTGGAAGAGGACCCAAGTTTATTTAGCCCCCACATACAATGAGGAGGATCATAAGAGAGACAAAAAATTCCCAAGGATGACTGTTGGTGAATTACAAGACAATGTAAAATCTTGGGGTTACCACGTCTCTGAAAAAAACCATCAGACCACATCTTCATGCTAACAGATTTTTTGAAAGGTATGACAGAAAGAAGCCTTTTCTGTCAGTTACCTATTATGTAAGTGCCAGGAGTTTGCAAAACATTACTACAACTTTGACTGGAATCAAATTCATTGGTCTGATGAAACAAAAATGGAGCTTTTTGGCAATAAACATTCAAGGTGGGTTTGGCGTAAAAAGAAAGATGGATGTAATGAAATTAACCTCATCCCAACTATAAAATATGATGGAGGTTCTGTGATGTTGTGGAGCTGTTTTTCCTCCAAAGGCCCTGGAAACTCATTAGGGTGCATGGCATTATGGACTCCATAAAATACAAGGGCATTTTATCTCAAAATTTGGCTGCCTCTGCCAGGACACTAAAACTGGGCCTTCATTGGATCTTCCAGCAGGACAGTGATCCTAAGCACATGTCCAAATCAACATAAAAATGATTCGCTGACCGCAGAATCAAGCTTCTGCCATGGCCATCTCAGTCCCCTGACCTGAACCCCACTGAAAACCTGTGGGCCGAGCCGAAGAGGAGAATGCAGAAGAGAGGGCCTATAGGACCCTGGGTGATCTGGAGAGGTTCTGTAAAGAGGAATGGACTCCGATGCCCTGCTCTGTATTCTCCAACCTTATAAAATGTTATAGTGCTGTTATACTGGCAAAAGGAGGTTGTACAAAATATTAAATGCTTAGGTGGCAATAATTGTGGCAAATGTGTTTTTGTTGAAAATAATTATTTCTTGATGAAGGATTTGTTTTTCTTTGAATAAATTTATTTCAATGAAAGGTTGGATTTTTCTTATTTTTTTCTGTATGAGATGAAACTGCTTTGACAAGCGGTGGATTTTTTTCTGACCCCTTTTTACAAATCTATACAAGGGGTGCCAATAATTGTGGAGGGCGCTGTATATGATTTATATACGACACTGTATTTGTACTAAATGGTGGTAAGTTAATCATGTCCTCTACTGTGAACACCCGTGTAAAATAATCAGTAAGCTCATTTACTATATCAATTTCACTTTCAATTATAAGGCCCTTACTATCCTACAGATTAGTGATTTCAGCTTTTAGAGCTCTTTTGGAGTTAAAATATTGGAAGAAACTATTAATATTATCCTTGGCCTCCAATGCAATCTTCCTTTCGACATTCCACTTAGCGAGTCTAATGTTATTTTTTAACTCAACCTGTAGACTTAGATACTCTTGCTTTACTCATTAGTTATTTTCTACCTTACTATCTCCAGTGTACAGTGTGAAATACCCGGTAATACTCACCTCACTACCCTCAGTTTACAGTGTGGAATACCCAGTAAGACTGACCTCAGTATCTCCAGTTTACAGTGTAAGTCCCCCAGTCCAGCAGAGAGTAGCTTCATTCCTGAGTCCTGCAGGTCATTGTCACTCAGGTCCAGCTCTCTCAGGGGTGAGGAGTTTGATCTGAGAGCTAAAGCCAGCACCTCACAGCATTTCTCTGTAAGTTCACACCGGCCCACCCTTAAAAAAATTAAAGACTTCTGAATCCACTTTTTACACTGCAGCACTGTATTCAAATGAGGAGAATAGGGGCCATGACATAATGGATTTTCAGAAAACAATTAAATTACTAAAAATCATTTTAACAATCATCCCGATTCTGTTTGGTGTCCATTATATTTTTGTCCATAACACGTTAAAGTCAGCATGTTTACCTGTAACAGTACTATTAACATTGCTAACCAACACAAATGTTTTGCATGGATTATATGGTTAAATGGGTGTTTCCTGCTTCACTGCTTAATTCTTTCTAACATGGATCGAGGGCTGATAAGATTGTGGAATATAAGGAAGTAGGAAAAGAAAACAGAAGCTGTTTGTGCTTGTTTATTATGTAACTGCTAAAATGCAATGTGGATTTTCTTGGTATCCAGTTCCTTTTTTGTAAAATGCATATTCTGTACTCACTGCAGCTTCTCCAGTTTACAGCTGGGATCCTCCAGTACAGCAGAGAGCAGCTTCACTCCTGAGTCTCCTGGGTGATTGTAGCTCAGATCCAGCTCTCTCAGATGTGAGAGGTTTGACCTCAGAGCTGAAGTCAGAGAAGAACAGCCTTCTTCTGTGACTCTACAGCCTGCCAGCCTGCAGGAAGAGAGACAGAAACTCTCCAATAAATAATATCACCTCACCATTACAGGGATTAAATAAATGTGACTGCTCCAATAAATATTTCAAGAATTACAGTTTAGTGTCTAAGAGAAGGCAGGCCCCCTCCTCCCTTTCCCTTAGCTAATTGCTCACTATATCCTCTTTATAGTGTAGAATACCCAGTAATACTGACCTCAGTATCTCCAGCGTACAGTGTGGAATACCCAATAATACTGACCTCAGCATCTCCAGCGTACAGTGTGGAATACCCAGTAATACTGACTTCAGCATCTCCAGCGTACAATGTGGAATACCCAATAATACTGACCTCAGCATCTCCAGCGTACAGTGTGGAACACCCAGTAATACTTACCTCAGTATCCCCAGTTTACAGTATGGGATAAACAGTAATACTGACCTCAGTATCTTCTCCTTATAGTGTGGACTACCCAGCAATACTGACCTCAGTATCCCCAGTTTACAGTGTGGAATACCCAATAATACTGACCTCAGAATCCCCAGTTTACAGTGTGAATCCCCCAGTGCAGCAGAGAGCAACTTCACTCCTGAATCCTGCAGGTCACTGTCACTCAGGTCAAGCTCTCTCAGGGGGGAAGAGTTTGATCTCAGAGCTGCAGTCAACACTTTACAATGTTTATCTCTGAGATCACAGCTGTTCAGCCTGAAATAGAAAACACTTTAGAACACATATACACATCCTACACATTAGTAAAATACAAACATTACAATAAGCATTTGTTTTCAATATAATTAGCAGCACAGCTTACATTTGAAAATTAATTATAGTCTGCAGAGTGTTCTATGCATCCTGGCAATTTGCTGCAGTCATATGACCACTAATTGTGAGTCAGTGCATCTTAGCTTAAAACTAGAGGTAAAAACATTAAGTACAAACTACAGGCAAAAATCACAGAATATACAGGAATATATAGGAACACATCAACGGCAAGATGGACATGAACCCTCCCATAACAGTCAGACCAGAGCTTCCAGTGCAGTCCTCAGCCATCTTTCTGCCAGGTGTCCCTACACTCGACACGTATCACTGAAAGGAGGAGATGTGAACGTCCCCAGCAGCTAATGCAGCAGCAACTTGCACTTGGATTCCTGATCCCATGAGTAAAATCCTTTTTCCCTGTATTCTTATACCTGGGAACATGTCAAATCACCAATTAAGTCTGAGTGATATGACGATATTATTGGTAATCAGCGTAATCAGACAAGTATCCCAGTGTCGATATCTGACAGTGACTAACCGGCAATTATCACCTTTGCTGGGGAAACGCACTTAGGCTACATACAAAGCAAGATAACAGAAGGAGTCATGATTTGCTTTCAGTTCAGCCTTCTAGCTTAAGATTCTGAAGCAGTTAAAAAAGAAACACTGCTATTATGGTGCAGAATTTCACAAGCATTGTCCCTTGCAGTAACCGTGCGTTCGCCATTCTTGTAAGTTCAGTATTGTCACATCACCAAATTCTATCTTTGAGTCAGCAGCCAGAATGTGAGCCTTTCAAGTGCAGCTTTCTGGTGGGAATTTTGAGCTTCCCAACTTCTCTCTCTCTCTCTCTGTCTATCTATCTATCTATCTATCTGAATCAATTAACCATTATTTTTATAGCTTGTTTTAACTACAGGGTTTACAAAGTGCTTTAAAAACATTTAAAAAGAAGGAAAAGAAAGGAATACAAATAAGCCCAGAATAAATAACAATAAGCACAAAAGAAATAACAATATTTATTAAATTAAAATAAAAAATAATAAAATACCGCCATAAAGGACTTTAACCACCCATGTTCTCTGTAGGGGCCTCTCCCTCACAGGGGCCTCTAGCCCCTATGTCTTCTGGGGGGAGCGACCCCCCCCCCCCACAATAACTGCTAATAATACATGCATGAAATAATAAAACTGATTATCATAGATTATTATATGCGGTGGAGAAAAGATGCGTTGTCAGCCTAGTTTTGAAAGTACTACTGTAAGACATTCAGTAGCTCTCAGGTTCTCTGGGAGAAGGTTCCAGAGTTTGGGACCATAGTGACTAAAAGCTGCCCCCTCCCTCTTAAGCCGGGTTTTAGGAATAATCAGTAAATTACTGCTGGATGATCTGAGCAACCTGCCTGGGACATACCTTACAGTCATGCTACTGAGGTAGGACTGAGCAAAGACACGTAAATATTTACAAATCAGCAAATAAACTTTAAAATTAATCCTAGAAGCTAGTGCAGGGATGTGAGAGCAGCTGTGATGTGATCCCTGTGCCTGGTGCGTGTTAACACTCCGCCAGCGGCATTCTGGGCCCGTTGTAGATGTGAAATAGATTTCTTAGGCAGATCAGACAAGAGGGCATTACAGTAATCTATTCTACTAGAAACTAAAGCAGGTATTATTTTTCCCCAGCCAGCATATGACAGCAGACCCCATAATTTATGTGGAGGGATAAACAAGAGAAGCACTTACAAATGTTAATTTCTGTCCAAAATAAGAAAATTGCAGACAGCCTTGATAACCCAGCTACGAATCCCTTTTTCATTACGATCAAAACTTGAGATAAAATATAAAGAACCATTAACAGTTTTTAAATGAACTCGGCCTGACTATTAATTAATTTTAAAAGCTTGTCCATTGTGGTGTGTAACCTCCATTTTTTTATTAAAAATAATATTTTCTGTAATCGCTTATCATATTCCAGGTTGTGGGGGGTCTGGAGCCTATGGGTACAAGGCAGGGAACAACCCAGGGTGGGGGGCCAACCCATGGCAGGGCACACTCACACACCTATGGGTAATTTAGTAACTCTAACTAGCCCCAGCATGTTTTTTTGATTATAAGGGGAAACCAGAGCCCTGAGGAAAACCCCACAAGGAACTGGTGGTGGGGTTCGCAAACCCTGGTCCTACAGATGCGAGGCTACTGTGCTGACCACTGCACCACCATGCCACCCCACCCCTCTGTCTGATTTTATTATTATTATTATTATTATTATTATTATTATTATTATTATTATTATTATTATTATTATTATTATTATTATTATTATTATTATAGTGACTTATCATGGAATTTCATGCCAGCTGTTTCACTATTGGAGTGTCACAGTTGCCTGACAACCAATTGACCAATCACAGCCCGACTTCCAACCAGCCAATCACTACATGAACCATTGTTCCTCTGGGCAACATCGTCCTGCACTGATCCATGAAAATACGCACACAAACATTTCCTACCCCTGAGCTCAGCAAAATATATTATATGCCACCCCCCCTTGGCAAGTTTCATGGTCAGGGAACTGACGTTACACCCCAACACGGTTGCGCATTCTGTTCACATCTTAAAAATAAAAAGAACAATAAAATTAATGTAGAGCTGTATCTATTGACCGCTTCTGCATTTCACAGTCAATAGTTACATAGACAAATTTCATAGAGATGTGCAGCCTTGCGAAGAAGATGTCTGTGTCAGTAACGCGCTCTGGTCCCATCCCTGCTAGACATGGTGATGAAATATACAGCAGATTATCGTTGCTGCATCACTGGCTGTCAGAATGGTGCCCGAGAAATGCTGTGGGTTATATAGACAACTGGCGAACGTTTGAGGGCAGGCCTGGGCTTTTGAAGAGGGACGGTATTCACCCCTCGCGGGCTGGTGCCGATCTCCTGTCCAAAAGCATACCAGCATAACCGACTGCCTGCTAGTCGCTTAGAGTAGTCACCTAGGGTTCAGGTTATTGGGGCTGTGTCTGTTTCCCTCGTGGAGGTCTATTCCACCGTAGTGTATGTCATAATAACTTGATAATAATTAAACCAAATCCATTATTAGATAATAGGTGTAATGCAAGGCTAAAACTTGGACTTTTGAATATAAGATTGCTAGCTCCTAATGCGCCACTAATAGATGAAATGATTACTGATTTTAGTCTTGGTCCTTATGCCTAACTGAGACCTGGCTTACACCAAATTAATTCATGCCACTAAATGAATCTACTCCAGCTGATTACAGCATAACCCTCGACCAGATGGCAAAAGTGCTGGTGCTGCCGCAATATTTCAGTCTAACCTAGGAGTGTCTGAGCAAAGTACTTATAGCTTTAGCACATATGAAATTCTTCTTCTTAGTCTTGAGGGGTCATCTCTTTGTAGTTCTTCACCACCAATCACCATTGTTATTGTGTATAGGCCGCCTGGTCCCTAACCTCCAATCACAATTGTTTTTGTGTATAAACCGCCTGGTCCCTGGAGTTTGCAAATTTTTCAACAATCCTGGTGGTCACTACTGACAAAGCCGTGATTTCAATATTCACATGGAGAATGATAGCGATCCTTTAACAACGATGTTTGCTGCTATCCGAGACTCTGTAGGTCTATGTCAGAATGTAGTTGGCCTACTCATGCCTGTAACCACACCCTGGACTTGATTCTTAGCCATGGTGTTGTAACGTGGGGTTGTATTTTGTGGTGGAGAAGAGGCAGCGGAACACTTAGCCAAAAACTCACGACACGCTGATACTGGGATTTCCACAGCGATTGTCCTTTAATTACGCACACACCTTACAAAGCCCGGTTGAACGGCTGCTGGCTTGTCACACATTAAGCGAGCAGTATTCATACAACCCATGACGTTACTTTGAGTTAGGGAGATAAGAACATAAAGTCCCTCTCAGTCCATGCAGCTATCTGTAAGCACGCATCTTCCGCGCTCTACAGAGCGTGGTGGCGTATACATACTGACATCACCAAAACATTGACTCACGCTGTCTTAAAGAGACACCACACAATTGCGACTGTTACAGTGTCCTGCTGGAATACATATCTATTATACTTCAGAACCTTCTGCTTTCAGATCAATACTTGTTAACGTTTGTTGTACAGTATAGCCTCCCTTTGGCTCCAGGTCCAAAGTACAGTATCAGACGTTCCATTGCCTCACTCACTACTACAGCGTTTCTCAACCAACTTCCACAGTCCTTCAGCCTTACATCCGAAGCCTCATGTGAAAATGAACTTGAACAGGTAACTGTGAACATGGAGAAATCGCTTTGCAGCATGTAGATCTTGTAGCTCCACTTAAGATGATAAAGCATAGAGATAAGAAACCTGCTCTCTGGTGCTCTGATCATACGCGTGAGCTTCACGCAAGCTAGAGCGCAAATGGCACTCAACTGAACTAGAACTTTTCAGATATGCCTGGAAAGAGAGCCTCACTAAGTACAGACAAGCACTAGTGACTGTGAGATCTGTGTACCTCTCCAGGCTCATTGAAGAGAACAAAAATAATCCTAAATTCCTATTTGAATCTGTGTCTAGGTTAACAAAGAATTCTTGAACATTGAACTTGCAAGTCTCACAAGCTCTTAAGAGTGATGACTTTATTAAATTTTTAATGGTAAAATAACTAAGATTAGACAGACCATCCAGTGCACGTCTGTAGCTACATACTGTACAGCTGCCAGCCTCCTGCTAGTCCTATGCGCACTGATAATGTGACCTTTGAATCTTTCCTTCCTATAAAACAATCAGAACTTTTGACCTTAGTTTCCTCCTGTAAATCCTCTGCTAGCCTTGTAGACCCAATTCCTACTAAATTCCTCAAGGAGATTGCACCCCTGATTAGCACTACCCTGTTAAATGTGTTAAACTCCCCTCTTAGGCTTGGATATGTTCC